TTTTTGAAGAAAATTGTTTTCTGAAATTGTTTAAAGGATTTGAAAATGAAATTTGATTAGAACATGTTGGTATCGGGCCCGTATTTTGGTTCCGGCGCCCTGTACATGTCTTATATATGATTTAAGATAATTCTGTGAAGTTTGGTGAGAAACGGAATCCATTTGACGTGATTCGGACCTTAAATGCAAAATTTGATGTTTAAGAAGTTTTGAGAAATTTCATTGATCTTGAGGTTTAATTCGATGTTCATGATGTTATTTTGGTGATTTGATTACACGAATAAGTCCATAGGATGTTTCTGAGGGTGTGTGTATGTTTGGGTTGGAGCCCCGAGGGCTAGGTGAGTTTTGGATAGGCCACGAGGTGCATTTTGAACTTGGAAAAATTGCAGGTTTTCAGCTAATGTGCACAGGTCTGCAGGCTTCGCGCTCGCAAATGCGAGCTCGCAAATGCGAGACATTCATTGCAAATGCGAAAATAGGACCTGGGCAGGCCTGATCGCAAATGCGACAACTTGGCTCACAAATGCGAAGCTCTCCTTTGATGCCTGGGGTCGCAAATGCGGCCCAACCCTCGCATTTCCCATCTCGCAATTGTGAGACTCCCTTCGCAATTCCCATATCAGCAGAGGTCGGGGTTCGTAATTGCGAACCCAGTTCGTAATTCCCACATGTGAGACCTGCAACTTTTATACTTAGCCGAATTTTTAACCCATTTTCATATCCTCTCAAAACATAAACACACTTAGGCGATTTGTCAAAGGTTTCTTCTTCTCCAAATCAATTGTAAGTCATTTTTAGCTAACTTTCTTCAATTCTTAACATCTTTTAACATGATTTCAACTTCAACTCAATCATTTTCATGGGGGAAATTGGGTGTTTTGGGTAGAACCTAGGTTTTTCAAAAATTGGGGATTTGGACCTCGATTTGAGGTCCGATTTCAAAACAAATTATATATTTGAGTTCGTGGGGGAATGGGTGATCGGGTTTTGGTTCGAACCTCAAGATTTGACCATGTGGGCCCGGGGGTGATTTTTGACTTTTTGGGTAAAACTTTGAAAAACTCATTTTCATGCATTGGGGTTGATTCATTTAGCGTTTATTGTGACTAGATACTAGCGAATTGGTGGTGGAATCAAGGGGTAAAGCTATAATTGAATCGTGAATTGTGTTCGTGGCATCGAGGTAACTGTTTGGTTTAAGCTTAGATTGAGGGATTAGGAGTTGTGTCTATTTGCTACGTGTTAATTGTGGAGTACGAAGTATAGGCATGGTGACGAGTATCTATACGTTGGTGTCAAGCATGCCCGTGAGTCTTGTGTTATAATTTGTTATGACCCCGTTGTGGTTTATTATACCTCACATGTTATTATCATCATTGTTCCCTTGCCGGGATATTTGTTTGATATTAATGTTCCCTTGCCGGGAAGTAATTATGTTGTTCTTGTTCCCTTGCTGGGATTCCTTGTGATTATTGTTGGTTGTAACTGGGAGCGGGTGGTACGCCTACCACAAGATATAATAAAATGGGAGCGGGTGGTACGCCTGCCACAAGATATAATAAAATGGGAGCGCCTACCACAAGAGAGAGTGAAATGGGAGCGGGTGGTACGCCTACCACAAGATATAATGAAATGGGAGCGGGTGGTACGCCTACCACAAGATACATGAAATGGGAGCGGGTGGCACGCCTGCCACAAGATATGAGAAATGGGATCGGGTTGCACGCCTGCAACAAGATGTGAAAAGAAAGTGAAATTTGCCTTTGTTTTTTTCTTTATTCTTGTTAGTGGTTGGAATTTTGATTCCTTAATATTCTATTGATATTCTGTTTTTTTTTACTTGTTTTTCCCCGAAGCATGTTTCCCCCTCCCATCTTTACTTGTATATTTCCGTATTTCTTTTCCGCTATATATATTGAAATTCAGGTTTATTTGGTAGCCTGGTCCTAGCCTCGTCACTACTTTGCCGAGGTTAGGCTAGGCACTTACCAGCACATGGGGTCGGTTGTGCTGATACTACACTCTGCACTCCTTTATGCAGACCCCAACGTTGTGGACTTCGGACCGCAGTGAGGTTGCTGATTCTTGATCGTCAGGCGACCCGAGGTAATCTTGCAGGCGTCCGCAGGCCTTGGCGTCTCCTTCTATCTACTGTTCCTGTTTCTTTCATGCATTTCTAGAGACAGTGTTGTATTTATTTCTTTCAGACCCCTTTATTTGTAGTATTCTTAGACCGTCTGTGAAATTGTGACACCAGTTCTGGGTAGTCGAGACTCAAACAGTTGTATTAGATATTCATGTTCAGATAGCTTATTGTTCCTTTCTTCCGCTTATGTTAAATTCCGCTGTTTAAATGTTATTATTTTGAAATTGTTAATGATTATAAAATGGATAAAAAGGTAAATTGTGAAATTAATTGGCTTGCCTAGCTCGTATTAGTAGGCGCCATCACGACTCCCGAGGGTGGAAATCAGGGTCGTGTCAACGCACCACCTTCTGCGGCCCGTACAAGCTCTCTGCCATCACGAACCCCCTCAACCCTAGAGGGCCTCCTCTCCATAATGGCACCTGCCATGAAAACGGTCTCTACGTTTGGTGTAAGTGCGGATTCCGTTCCCGCACCGATGAATTTGTCCGGTCCGACGTCGGCGATAACGGCCTTTCCAATTTCTACCCTTCGCCTTTTCCTCGACGGTGACTCTTCACCGCTAGATGGCTCGCCTACAAGATGATAGATGTGCTGGGAAGAGATCTCATCCCGCAGGGCAACAGTTTGAGGGGCGGAGTCCCTTATCGGCAGAACTTGAGTCCGATTTCCTCGAGCAGACTCAGCTAAGGCAAATTGCATTCCAGCCGACGCGATAACCTGGCGAAATGAGGCACTGGAGCCTTCTTCTTGGAAATTCGTCGACCTAGCACCAAAGGGAGGTCGCATCAAAGAGCAGTGATAAACAACAATAAGCTGAAGTAAAAGTGACACTTACTAGACGGGATCTTGGGTCCAAAACGCTTGTGAAAGGATGCCCAATCATGAATTCCCACGATGTGGGGTAACACGCGGGCCACCCAATCTTCAATATCAAAGACAAGAGAAGGTGCATGCCTCTCAGCTGAAAAATAAGGAAGCCGAAAGTGAGCCGAAAATGAAGGAACGAAAGAAAATAACGAGCGTACGGTAAGATACTTACGATTATAGTTCCATTTCTCGGGAAACCTAGTTGGGTCCGCTACTAGGTGCTCGGTCTTGATGAAGAAGAACTTATGCCAGAACTTCCGATTCGTTTTGTTGTCCATCCCGACCACCAACCCTCTAGTCCCACAAAGCCGTAGGTGTATCAAAGTGCCTCTATAAAAACTAGGCGAAAATAAACGCAGCAGGTGGCGAACGTCGACTTCACAGCCAGCCAACTCTGCATACTTCATTAGCATCAAGAAAACTTTATACAAATAAGGGGAGAGTTGCGCCGGGCAGACATTATAGAATCGGCAAAACTCCTCCACTAGCGGAAGGAAAGGAAAAGTATAACCAATCAAGAACGGATAGACATATAAGGCACAATATCCGGGTCGATGAACCTCCACAATGTCGCTTCCAGCCGGAACAATTTCGATGTGGGGAGGAATGCGATATTTGGATCGGAGATCGGCTATGTGAGACAGTCCCCTCTTAGAAAGCCTCTAAGTGGGAGAAGGAGCGGGCTCTTTTGGAAAATCATTTCTATCCAAAGGGTTTTTGGGGACTATCTCCTCCGCAGTAGGGAAGTTTTTGTCCTCTTCAGCCATGAATTCCTCACCGCTGGGAGGAAGGGCCACCGATAATGGACTGGTATCGGAAATCTCGTCGTGAATATGAAGGGATTGTGACATATTTCAGTAATGAAACGTATACAACAAAGTCTGAAGAAGGAGATAACAACTGGGTAAGAAAGGACTGGAACTGAAGAAGCTGCGAGAAATCGAAAGCAGAAATTGGAGAAGAAGATCAGAGAAGAACTTCCGAAATGGTGAAAACTTCCGAAAAATGAAATCCCCCACCCATTTATAGGGTTGGGTGGCGCGAGAATCGGAGCAAAGGACCGTCAATGGCACCAAAATCGAAGCGGAAGACGCACATACGCTGCATCGGGAAGACGCGTAATGATGACGCGCGTGGCCATGATGTCACCCCACGTTAGCCACACCAATCGTAGCCTCGCTGGCTACGCTATTTTCTCGACCTCGGCCAATTCAAGTTAATCAACACGACCAAATTTCTTCTAAATGAATGCAAACTGAGTCCGCATATCAAGGGCGTGCAAGACCACGATCTCAACAAGCGGAGAGACTAACTGTATTGGTCTAAATTTGGTGACTTGGTAACGGTAGATAAACAGGATCGAGGGCAGGGTCGACCACGGCGTAATAGCGGGAAGCCGTCCTCGGGAGGACTATTGTCAAGGACGAGCAACTGGAGTAAAGAAACAACGGTAGAATAGGTTTAGAAATGGACATAAGGAATATTCCTTTGGATATTCCTTATTTTGTACTTTTTAGGGTTTCTTAGAAATACCTCTTATGAATAGGAAGAGATAGAGAACAAAAGGGGGATCTTGACTTTTTGATAAGAGCACATTGTAAATGGTTGACGAGAGAGAATATACAAAAGTTGTCTTGTTCATCGATTATCATATTCAAGCACATGTTGTTTAATCTTTGGTCACAAGATCCAAAGATTCTTTATCCATCTTCACTTCTCATCTTTCCACGTTGCTGTCAGGAGAAAGAACCATCCAAATCACATAATAATTGGGTGGTAGATTCTTTGTTATTACATTTATTGCCATCATCTACATTTATTGCATGTTCATGTTACAATATTTACTGATAATCACCGAGTACAAATCTGCTATTTAATGCTCTCAAGCGCCGTTCACCTTACCAATATATTTGATCTAGAATTTATTATATTAAACTAAGATTCACCCTTCATTTCATCATTAATTAGTTTAACAAAAGGCTTAACTCTTTTTGGTCAAACGTAACTCAGTCAATGACGCCTCATTTCGTGCTGAAGAAATAGATTTACTTTTGGCTAGTTTTCTAGATTCTGACATTCTTGAATTGTATTCTTGAATAAGCGAAATCTCTGGGCTAATGTCGGTGTGCATATAATATGCAGGCCCTGAAGGCATGGGAAGACTCAAAGAGGCGCTACTGAGCATGAGAACTACTGCAGCCATAGTTGGTCTATCAGCAACATTTTCTTGAACGCACAATAAAGCAATGTGGATGCATCTCATTATGTCACGAACCAGTCCCGTGCTTCCCCTCAACATGGGGTCTATCAAATTTGTAGTTGTTCCTTCGCGCCAGTTCGACCATGCCTGTCATAGTTCAGTTCTTGAATCATACGAAATCATATGAAAAAGAAGTAGAAGAGTAATTGATTCTTGTTTTTCTAAAACATAAAATATTTTGGAATAAATTTTATTCAAAAAGGCTAATAATTATGCATGTAGCAGGTCCCAACTAGTTTGGATTTAAGATTACTTGATTGATTAATCTAGTTACTTACATAGCTCAGAAGGTCTTCCACAGATTCTCCATTTCTGAAACTAGTGTTTCTTTGGCCACTTAAAATTTCTAGGACTAGTACTCCAAAGCTAAAAACATCTGATTTGACTGAAAATTGTCCGTGCATTGCATATTCTGGTGCCATATATCCACTGCAAAACAAAAACAAGAGTAACAGGACATTTTGCAACTAAGATACAATTCAATTGTTAAAGTTTTTTGGTTTTTATTTTTGTACAAATATATGTTGCACTTCACATTAGGGTAAGGCTGCGTACAATAGACCCTTGTGGTCCGGCGACCCCGCGCATAGCGGGAGCTTAGTGCACCGAGCTGCCTTTTTATATGTTGCAGTTCACATGAACAGATTGAAGTAAAAAGGCCAAAAATTCAATTCTGGAGTTTAGTAGTCCAAACAGTGGGATAAGCAAATCTCAAATAAGATGTCAAAATTGGGTACTACTTCATGTTAAAGTCCAACTATATGCAAGGGTCATTAAAGAACTTTGACTTCTTTCAATGAACTTAGGAAGCAGTAAATGTTGTGCTGCAATTTATACTGCAATTTGGATAGTTTCTGCTTTCTGTTTCTTTTTTCCGCCTTTCCTTAGTGAGAATGTTTCTCACTGCAATGTGAAGACAACTTTAGACTATTGATCTATTCTTGGCTGAGCAAACTTCAAGTTTGATGAGTTAAGACGTACGTATTACATTTGCTGCCAAGAGATGATATGTAATTTCCTCTCTGAACAAGGAGAATCCATTCCCAGAACTCATTAAAGAGATTACAATGACATGCAAAATCCATATTTAAAATTCTTGTAACATTTCAAGGACAGATTGCTTTGTCTCGAGTCAGCTTTTATTCTTGCTAAATGCATAATGAATCCTTCAGAATGATATGAAAAAGGACTAACAGTCTATCTAATGAATGATGTAAAACTTACTAGGTCCCAGCAATTCTGCTTGTGTTGCCTTGAGTTTCATCCACTGTAAATAGCCTTGCCATGCCAAAATCTGAGATTTTAGGATTCATTTCTGCATCTAGTAGAACATTACTAGCTTTGAGATCACGATGAATGATCCGTAGTCGAGAATCCTCATGAAGATAAAGAATTCCCCTAGCAATGCCTCCTACGATTTTGGATCGTCTTTCCCAATCCAATTGCCTACGTTTAACTGGATCTGGAAACAAGATCAAAAAAATAATTGACAAGTTGAGCTTTTATACACTGACAATATAGAAGGATTTTAAAAATCAAGTCTCTTAAAAGATCAGCCAGACAACATGTGAAATTACACCGTCAAAACATTAAGCAATACGTACCAAATAAAAACTGGTCAAGACTTGCATTAGGAACAAATTCATAGACAAGAAGTCTCTCTGTTCCATCTAGCCAAAATCCCAGCAACCTAACCAAATTCCTGTGTTGAAGCCTAGAAACCAACAAGACCTCATTTTTGAATTCTAGATCACCTTGGCCTGAGTCTGCTGACAATCTTTTTACTGCTACTTCTTCTCCATTTGGAAGCTTACCCTGAAGCAAACGAGCACAAATTGAAAACTTATGAAATAAACAACAACAACTCAATCCCAAACAGGTTTGAGCCAGTTATGTGAATCTTCAGTGTCCATCTTATGCATCAATTAAGCCTAATCACCTTGTACACAGGACCAAATCCGCCTTGTCCCAACTTATTAGCATTTGAGAAGTTATCTGTTGCTGCTCTAATTGTAGAAAAATCATATTGCAAGGATTCTGCGGTGCTAATATCATCCCCGCGTATACCTTCACAAACGTAAGCATACAACAAATTAGTGAAACATGGTCCTAAGAATTCAACTTTCCTTAATCATAGTTTGTTACTCCCAGTAGTTTGCGCTTACTCTGAATTCCGTCCACCAGCTTCCTCTTTCGCATCTTCAAAAAGATGACATAAATACAAACAATAAGAATAACAAATGTAACAGTTGGCACAACGATGATGATAACGGTTCGCGCTGTTTTATTATCTTTCCCTGTTGGAGCTGTTCCATCATCCTTCCCTATTGGAACTGTTTTATCATCATTCCCTACAAAAATACTTCAAATTAGTATAGTATCTTCTCTTTTTCAATTCACTTGTTCTGCTTCCCTTTTCAGGTTATTTCAAAAAGTAATACATAGTAGTACTAAATATGAAAAATTTAATATTCTCCTACAATATTAATAAGCTCTTCTTCAACACAAGTTAAAATTTGTGGTGTGATACTGTTAATTTTGGGTGACCATTTCATATGGTATACTTCATTTACTTAATTATGTCTTCAAGACCATCCTCTAGCGCACGCCTAATTATTTCTTCTATGAGTCAAACACATGGTAATTCTTTTTGATAATTCACTACCATATTGAAGCGTAAGCTATTAGAAAGGGTAAACTTTTATTTACCTAATTATGTCTTCGATAGTCACATAAAAAGTAGACAATCAACAAATTGGGATGAGCAGAAGGAACAATAGAAATGTAATTCACCTGCAGGTGGCGGAGCTTCCAACGCCACCTCCTTGAAGAAACGGGCACTTTCATAACGAAAATTGCACCTAGTCCCTATGATTCTGCCACCCCTCTTGCCATTGCAAGGACAATTAGGCATATCTCCATAAGCGTCAGTTAAACAATCAAAGCAATTCTGAGGAGATAAATCAGGAGTGCACTGCACTAGCGCATATATAGTCTGAAAATTTGGACATGTCGCATTACCACTAGCATATTTTCGAAACGGACCACCATTTGCAGCATGGTCTCGTAAATTTTCCAATAATTTTCTCAACTCCAGGTTAAATTCCTCGGGTTTTGAGGCATTCCCAGTATTCCACAAATAATATGGAGTAGAAAATGACTTAGTGCCTAGAATGAATCGATTTGAGTAGTGTAACATACATTCATCAGAGCCACCAGAAGCTTCTTTTTGGTTAGGACATAACTGTGTAAGGTTTTGAACAACATTACTGACACAAGTGCGACATGCTTCTAGCAGCTCCACATCTCCTCTACAAAGCACAATAGCACTGACCATGTCGGTGTTTTGACCAATGGAAGCATTATAGAAACCATATTTATCCATATTTGAGGAAAGGGAAGAGAGGAGTTTGTTAAGATTATTGTGGTATGTACTATTTTCGGTGTAGTTATTATTATTACCACATAAAGTGTATGGGAAATCAGCTGCGCTAGGATGAGACCATGAAGATATATATGCAAAAAAAAGAAAGAGTAGCCACTTCTGAATAGCCATGGTCATGGCGGTCTAATTAAGTTGCTCGAAGCTCAGATATTTTTGAAGAACATAGAATGGTTGGGTACAAATTGGGTGCTGAGTATGTAAAAGTATCAAGTAATTTGTTCAGAAGCCCAAGAATTCCATGGGCTTGAAAGAGCAAACAGAGCTAGAGAAAACGTATTAAAAGGGTGCGGTTGACTACCATTTCTGAGAACCAAGAAAGAAATTAGGAGATTGATTTTTCTAAGGCCGCCATTTCTAATTTCTGAAGGTTAGTGGCCTTTAGCTTAACATAAAAAACTACTTTTGGCTCGACTTTTTTCTTGGAGTTGACTTACTCGTAACAACTCTAATTTTTTAATTTTTTTTGGGGGGAGGGGGTGGCGGCGATGCCTCCTCTTCTTTCCATTGTTTATTAGAGGTCTAGGTTGAAAAATAGTGTCTTATATATTATCGTTGTTGGGCTTTTTATGTATTTAATTAATATATTAAATACTTAAAAGAGGGTGAATGAGAAATGGAGGGAAATAAAATTTTTGAGTGAAATTTTAAGTTTTCCCCTTTGGTAAATGGACATTGTCCCATATTGGAAGAGGAAGAGATTTTTTATGGGTATATAAGCAATTGCTCTTCTTCTAGCTCTTAAAGAGTTAAGAAGAAGGCAAGCCTCGCGCCGTCGTCGTCGTCGCTCGGCTTCGGCTTCGGCTTTATTTTAATAATAGAATATTAATATTAAATATTAATATTAAATCCAATCCGTTTTTCTGTTTTGGTAACAGAAAATTAACTACCCTCTTCAAACACTATTATGCTCAGAATTTCACTACGATTTTCTGAGTTTCTTCTCCTTCTTTTGCATACTTTTAGTATCAAACAAAGCAAGGATTAAATTCCTTAAGGAAACACAGTGAATTCAGTGGGCTCGAATTGGTTTTCTGTCATTTCTGTTTATGTTTATTTCTATTTATATTCATTTATATTTCCAGAATTATTTTACAAATACAATATACTAACAAGCTTAAGGAATTTAACGTATTTTCTGTATTTGTACTCATTGTTTCTGGAGAGTAAAACCTTTGTGGTTTTGTACTCTATTAAAATCTACGTGATTTTAACGTTTCTGTCATTCTTTTACATAAATGACTAATGATAATGTGAACCAAGTTGTTCCAATGGTGACTGCCAATGCCTCAACGAGCCGAACGACACCGGCAGCATTGGCACCGGCGGAGAAACCCGGAAAATTTCCGGGATTGATTTCAAGCGCTGGCAGCAAAAGATGTTCTTCTATTTGACTACTCTAAGTCTCCAGAAGTTCATCAAGGAAGATGTTCCTGTGCTGTCGGATGAAACTCCAGAAACTGAACGCTTCCTCGTGATTGAGGCGTGGAAGCATTCAGATTTTTTATGCAAGAATTATATTCTAAACGGGCTGGAGGAAGCTTTGTATAACGTCTACAGTGGCGTGGAAACGTCAAAGGAACTGTGGACTGCGCTTGAAAAGAAATACAAAACCGAAGATGCCGGGTTGAAAAAGTTTGTTGCTGCAAAGTTTTTGGATTACAAAATGGTAGATAGCAAGTCTGTTATTACCCAAGTCCAGGAATTGCAAGTGATTATTCACGATCTCCTTGCTGAAGGTATAAATCAAATTAATATTGATGTTGAAAGTAGTAATCTTAGTATTTTTACTAACAAGAATTTCATTGAAGATCTTGTCATCAATGAAGCATTCCAAGTAGCAGCGATGATTGAGAAGTTGCCTCTTTTGTGGAAGGACTTCAAAAACTACTTGAAACACAAACGCAAGGAGATGTACCTTGAAGATCTCATTGTTCGGTTAAGAATCGAAGAGGACAACAAAGCTGCTGAAAAGAGAGGCTTGGAAACTCAACAATAATGGGAGCAAATATTGTTGAAGAGAACAAAAAGAAGAAGAAGGCTTCTGGACCAAAATACAACCCAAGCAAGAAGCGGTTCAGTGGAAACTGCTACAACTGTGGAAAAACCGGACACAAATCTATAGAGTATCGTGCTCCGAAGAAAGACAAGAAGAAGGGTCAAGCAAACATGGTTGAAAAGCATGATTATGTTGATGACTTATGTGCCATGCTTTCCGAATGCAACTTGGTGGGCAATCCTAAAGAGTGGTGGATTGATTCTGGAGCCACTCGCCATGTTTGTGCTGTTAAAGAAGCTTTTGCTACTTATGCTCCTGTTGGACCCGATGAGACGATTTCTATGGTAAATGCTTCAAAGGCCAATATTGAAGGATGTGGAAAGATATTTCTAAAAATGACTTCCGGAAAAGTGGTGACTTTGAACAACGTCCTTCATGTTCCCGAGATTAGGAAGAATTTAGTCTCTACTAGAATTCTTGTTAAGAATGGTTTTAAATGTGTTTTTGTTTCCGATAAGGTTGTAATAAGTAAGAATGAAATGTTTGTAGGAAAAGTTTACCTCATTAAGGGCCTTTTCAAGCTGAATGTAATGGTTGTGGAAAATAATTATAAAATTTCAGCTTCGTCTTACTTACTTGAGTCAAATGAATTATGGCATATACGTTTGGGTCATGTCAATTATAAAACCTTACGGAAAATGATAATTTGGAAGTATTGTCCAAGTTTGAATGTGACAAATCAAAATGTCAAGTATGTGTGGAATCTAAGTATGTTAAACATCCTTATAAGTCAGTTGAAAGGAATTCAAATCCTTTAGACTTAGTTCACACAGATATTTGTGACATGAAGTCAATACCATCTCGCGGTGGAAAGAAGTATTTCATAACTTTTATTGACGATAGTACTCGATATTGCTATGTTTACTTACTTAATAGTAAAGATGAAGCAATAGACGCATTCAAGCAATATAAAAATGAAGTTGAAACGCAACTTAACAAGAAAATCAAAATGATAAGAAGTGATATGGGTGGTGAATATGAATCTCATTTTGAACAAATATGTTTAGAATATGAAATTATTCATCAAACAACGGCCCCTGAAGGGTTTGTGGTTCCAGGTAAAGAAAGGAAGGTCTATAGACTTGTTAAGTCCCTTTACGGACTAAAACAAGCACCCAAACAATGGCATGCGAAATTTGACCAAATAATATTTTCAAATGGATTTAAGATAAATGAATGTGATAAATGTGTGTACATTAAAAATGTTCCAAATCACATAGTCATTGTTTGCTTATATGTGGATGATATGCTCATAATGAGTAATGACATTGCCAACATAAATGCTACTAAGCGTATGCTAACTAGCAAGTTTGATATGAAAGACTTGGGAGTTGCTGATTTAATTCTGGGAATTAAGATCCATAAGACTTCTCAAGGTCTGGCGTTGTCACAATCTCAATATATTAAGACAGTACTTGAAAAATTCAAGCACGTGGGCTTTAAAGTTGCAAAGACTCCAATTGACGTGAATCTTGCATTAGCAAAGAACAAAGGCCAAAGCATATCACAATTGGATTATGCTCGTGTGTTGGGTTGCTTAATGTACATCATGAATTGTACACGGCCAGATATAGCTTGTGCTATAAGTAAATTGAGTCGATATACGAGCAATCCAGGTCAATCTCATTGGATGGCCATGAAACGAGTTTTGGGGTATTTAATACATACCCAGGACTTTGCTTTGCACTACAGTAAATATCCTACGGTCATTGAGGGATACTGTGATGCAAATTGGATCATCGGATCAACTGATTCCAAGTCCAGAAGTGGATATGTATTCACTATTGGTGGAGGAGCGGTATCTTGGAAGTCGTCCAAACAAACTTGTATTGCCCGCTCTACAATGGAGGCTGAGTTCATAACCTTGGATAAAGCCGGTGAAGAAGCTGAATGGCTCCGGAATTTCTTGGAAGATATTCCATTTTGGCCCAACCCGTTGGCACCAATATGCATACATTGTGATAGTCAAGCGGCAATTGGAAGGGCTGGGAGCGTTATGTATAACGGTAAATCTCGTCATATACGATGAAGACATAAAACCGTTAGACAATTACTCTCTAGAGGAATTATCACGATTGACTATGTAAAGTCAAGTGATAATATGTCGGATCCACTTACAAAAGGCCTAACTATAGAGGTAGTTGCGAAATCATCAAGGGGAATGGGACTGTGGCCGAGAACAAGTCATAGTGGCGGTAACTCTACCTAGAAGACTGGAGATCCCAAGATCTAGGTTCAAGGAGATCAAACAAAGTCATTAATGACGGTTCAACATTGTCAAATAAACTTTTGGTCCATTCTCGTGATGAGACAATGTTCAGTACCAAGGATAAAGCATTAAGGCTTTTTAATGATTTCTAAATTTGATACGGGGTATATCAAATAGTGTATCTACGGGATGACACGTTTAGAAATCACCTATGTAAGTGTGAAGTGTTAGCCGCTTCAAGGAGAACTTCGTAAGGCCAGTTCTCTACGCACTTATGAAACCAGGCGGTGTTCATGGCTGAAACAAACACAACAATTAGAACCAAAGACGGTTAAGGGTTGGTAGTGTGACTTGTGGTTGTCTAGGTATACACCAAAGTTCGACGGTTCAAAGATATCAAATCTACCGATTGATCGAGTATATCCGACATAAGTTCACTACGGAAAGTTCAAAGGGAAACCTACTTATCCAGATGCAATTTATCCTTACTTGCAAATCAAACAGTTTTTCATGCATACTTCCGTGATATAGCCATTCCCCATTCATGTGGGGGATTGTTGGGTTTTTTATGTATTTAATTAATATATTTAATACTTAAAAGAGGGTGAAAGGGAAATGGAGGGAAATGAAATTTTTGAGTGAAATTTTAAGTTTCCCCCCTTGGTAAATGGACATTGTCCCATATTGGAAGAGGAAAAGGTTTTTTATGGGTATATAAGCAATTGCTATTCTTCTAGCTCTTAAAGAGTTGAGAAGAAGGCAAGTGTCGCGCCGTCGTCATCGTGGTCGTCGCTCGCTCGGCTCGGCTCGGCTCGGCTCGGCTTCGGCTTCGGCTTCGGATTCGGA